TATATATATATATATATATATATATATGCCCTCCTTATTAGCTGCTGTTATTGACCGTTACCACCGTATAATTTTTATTTCAACTTTTTTCTTTAATTAATCTCATATTGAGTTTAAAATGTCAGTTTTTAAAAATTTACTTAAAATAGCAAAACACTAAGACTAACTCCGTTTTTAGTCGTTGTATTATCTTCATTATTTATTAAACTTTCTAACTAGCATATCTAATCAATGTTTATTCGTTTATCAGACTATGCAAATTTCTCACAAACCAGGTACCGTATTAACGATATCGATACCGCATTTTCATGTTTTTCCGTTTTATAGGAATTGTGTTACCAAATTTAATATTTTTTTTACTTTCTCGTATATATCCTACAGAGTATAGAGAAAGTATTGTAATCGTGTAAAAAAATCGAGATTTTTGCAAATCTTGACATTTTACACCTCCCTGAGTCGAAAACACATACTTAGCGTGTGTGTGTGTGTATGTATGTGTGTCTGTAAACACGAAAACTTGAGTACCGTTATAGCTAGATTGATGAAATTTCATATATAAGTATTATATCAAAATCGTAGATCCGTGTACACTTTTGAGCGATTTCCAATAACCGGAAGAGGAACTTTTTCTACTTTTAATTTTTCAAAAGCCTACAACTTGAGTATTTTTCTCAGATAGTTAAATGAAATTACACATATAAGTAAAAGATCTAATTCTCTGTCCTCTGTCAAATTTTAAATAATTTGAACTATTAATTTACGCTATTTCTGATTTCTCAAATAATTGCTTGTGAATTTATAGAGTAATAATAATATCGTGCACAGCGATGCACATTTTATTTTGCGTTCACTTTGTGTTCCTTTCTTTTCTACGAGTTTTTATTCTATTATAAACAGTTTAAGTAATTAAAAATGGATTTAAAATATTGTCTATTTTCAGAGTTGCCATCCGCCGTAGTGTTATATAAGAATAAGTAAGTAAAGTTTCCCTTTCAAACCTTACGGTCTATGGGGCAAATGAAGTAGAGTTCACTTGTTTCTGTGACCTCGGCATATGAAGAGATAGTGTGGTCAGCACTATGCCCAGCCGCCTTTACTTTCCCTAACGTGAGTTAGGTACCCATTATAGTTGGGTGGACTCAGGGACGGTCTACTAAATTGAACCCAGATTCGAACTCGAGACTTACGGGTTAGCAATCCAGCTCTCTACCGCTAGACCACTCCGTCCCTGTTATATAAGAATATTCGTGAAAATTTTAGGGTAGATCACCCCTGGTTTATTTTTCACAGAACTTGAATAATTAAACTAGTAAATGAGTAGATTCAAAGATAAAAATAAACCTTGTTAAAATAAAAAAAAAGTGTATGATTTGAGCTAATATGATATGGCTTGTACTATGTGCTAATGATTGAAATAGTCGTACGATAACTCAACACACAATTAAATTAAGTTATAAATAGAATGATTTAAAACTAAAAATAATGACACAAGCTTCGATTTCAGTAAGACTATACGATTTTTAGTTTAATTTTTTAACTACGAAAATCAGCTGTTTCGTAACGTATTAGTAGGGGCTTAAATCTGAAAATCGGGGATAATGGTTTCGCTAGTACTTTTTCGCTATATCCGTTGGTATTTAGATAAATGAAAATAAGAAAACATTAAGACTTAAGTTGAATTTATTGAGAGTAGGTACGGTTTTAATATTATTTTCAACAATGTTTTTACTTTCTTCTCCAGACATTCACAAGCTAACAAAATAGACCCGGTATAAGTGTAAGCGATATCGATACTACCTTTCTCCGCTTTCGTATTCCGTTATATTTGTTTTTATATTATTAAGCCATTATGTCTATTTAAAATGTAAAGTAAAGACGTGAGTAAGCTGTCTTAAACATTATCAACCGAAGATGGAAATTATAAATTGAACAGTGGTTGATTAAATACACCAAGTAGACTGTGCGGGATCAAAATCTTTTTAATATAAGAAATATTAGTTTGAAATGCGGAATTTTACGCTCAAGTTTCATCCGCCACTGGAACACAAGATCTCCTAGTATGAAATGTGATCTACATTTTATGAGTTCAAATTTAAGTAGTTATACAATTTGAATTGACCGGCGAACAACGCAGTTCAGTACAGTACGTAACACTTAAGATTCATTAATTGTTTCATTTAACGAGCAACATAAGTCAACATGGATTAATTAGTCAAATTGTTTCCTCATACAAGATGAATGATGATATTTTCTTGAAGAGGAAAAATGCAATGCCTTTCTCAACTTTCTATTTTGACAAAAAAATTCAAAAGTCAAATCCTTAAGGCTCTAAACCACATTGTAATACAAAACTGAAACTTTTTACCCGCATTGAGCAATATGCTTTCTAATTTCTATTGTTGCTAAGCAATTCATGTACCCTACCCATTAAGGTAAACACTTTTATCACATTTTTTTTCTGAAGATCTTACAACCAAATATCAGTCTATGATCTTGACTGACTGTATTCTTCAATATTTCAGCTCAGAATTTAAAGCTTTCATGTTTTTGTAATCTGCCCCACCCACTTTCGTTAAGCAACGCCATTGCATCCTGAAGTGGGCTGTTGTAGTCTGAATTCAGAATGAATAATGAAATAAAAGCTTACTGAAACTATCGACAGTTTGTCCCACTTGAGTTTTATTCATTGTGCCATCGTCTAAATTAGTGTACGTAGCTTGACAAGTATACACTCCAGCATCTGAACATTTAGCATCAAGGAAATTCATTTCAATATACATAGAATTCGGTTTATTTTTTTCATCTCCATCTACTGTAACCGTGCCGGTGAAAAATGAAGCCAAGGTCATTTCATGTGGAATCTGCAGAGAAAGGTCAAAACTTTTTTTCATCAATTAGCTTGGTTTAAAAAGTAAATTGAGGCTAGTTTCAGTAAACATATGTATTCTAATTAATAAAATCTAATTTACTAAAAACATTCTGCGTTGATTGAGCTTTCATAGTTTTTTTTTTTTTTAATATCTTAAAGAGTGGTAAATGTTATATGTATAATTCTACAAGATGGCCGTCGGAAGAAACGGTCTGTTAGATAAACTGTGCAACACTAAGTAATAACACCGCTTTACTCACGACGACTCATTCTTTTTACATTCAAACTTCTGCCCATTTTACTTTATCCATTTTAGACGTCCTTGTGAAAAGATAATGGGAGGTAGGCCTACTTCATAAGTTAGTCTAATTTAATAGACCTTTGTAGGGGTTGGGTGTTCATTTAGTGGTTAATCAAAGATATGTGTGCTTGCTTTTAGTGTTTATTAAAAAAAAACACAACGATTTCTGTGTCCGTCAATAAAAAAAAGAATTGCTTTGTTATCCTGAATAAGAAGATCTGTCAACTGAATGTTGATAGTAAATAACGCATAGAAACAACACATTCAGTATAATTCAAGATTTAACCAAAAGTTAATAATGCGCTTAATGCAGTGTAAGCCCTAAGTCTGCATTAATATTTCAAGTGTTCTATGATTTAAAAAAAAATAATATTCTAAAACGCATTTTAATTTTACGACTACTTTAAATGCAATTTCCTCTTTAAATAAACCGGGAGTGATCTCCCCTAAACTTTCTCGAATATTCTTATATAAAATAACAGGGGATGGGAACTCGGGCTATATAAATGATTTTTAATCCATTTTAAATACTTAAAGTTTTAAAAATAGAATAAAATCTCGTAGAAAAATTAAATGCACACCAAGTGAACGCTAAATACAAAACGCATAATAGTGCGCAATATTATTAGTACTTTTAAAATTTACATTAGTTTTTTGAGAAATCGGAAGTAGCGTAAAGTACTACTTCCGGTCAACGTAAATTACTCAAAATTTTACAGAAGGTAGAGAATTAGATCTTTTACTTACATGTGAAATATCATTTATCTATCTGAAATAGTACTCAAGTTATAGGCTTTTGAAAAATTCAAAGTAGAAAAAGTACCACTTCCGGTTATCGGAAATCGCTCAAAAGTTGATACGGATCTACGATTTTGATAAAATCCTTATATATGAAATTTCATCAACCTAGCTGTAACGGTACTCAAGTTATCGTGTTTACACACGGACAGACACACAGACACACAGACATACGGACAAGATTGCAAAATTATGTTTTTCCGTATTAGTGAGGTGTAAAACGTCGAGATTTGTAAAAATCTCGATTTTTTTTTTGCACGATTACAAGACTTTCTCTAAACTTCGTATACACGAGAAAGTAAAAAAATAATATACATAATTACATATTTACTCATTTTAAATTTCTACAAATGTTGAAGCTTTTCGAATAACGCATTGTTAGAAAACGGTAAACCGGATGTGTTGCAGCAGACAAATCGGTTTTCTACATAATCCACACCACCACGGTTGCACGACTTCGTTGCATAGTATGTAACCATTTTCTCACATCAAATGTCTATTCCATTACCTGATGTTTATCGTTTTTATTACGATCAAGGTGAAGAGGGGAGGGGGAGGGCGAGTCATATAGAAGTGATTCTGTTGGGTGGATGGTGTAACCACCACACATTTTACATCCGCTTTGCAATATACAACATAAATTAAAAACAAACACAATATAGAGATTAATAATCAGTAAAATAGTATAAATTCATCGCTGTTTCTACTTCAGTTAGAATGCCATATATGAATACTATTTTATCACTTAGTTAATTTAACTTATTTTAATGATATTTGGCCAAAAATAGTTTTTTCAAACGATAACGAATAACTAAATTATTTTTTCATAATCTATAAATGGTAGATAAAGGAAGCTTCACCAACTAAAAACTATAATATTGATAAAACACAGGTTTTATGTGTGTTTTTATGTCAATGTTCAGTACAGCACGAGAGGGAGAGTTAAAACAAAATAACATGCTTGGAAATGTCTAAAGATATAGGCCTACTAACAATCGTCCATGACGTCACATTAAAATTTCAAACAATTTTCTATTCTGTATTACTTGTCATTCGATCCGCCTGAGACATAAAAGTTAGTATATTTTCACTCACTAATTATTAAAGTAAATTGTATTACATAATTGTATAGTGGTTTTTTGAAAACTTACGGAATAAGAGGAGTTGTTACGCCAATATTCTGCAATTGAAATAGTATTTCCTGTCTCATCAGACCAACTAATTTTCAAAGATTCAACTTTGGTGTTATTTTTAGGAACACCAGCTAAGAATGGTTCACACGTCAGACTAAAATTTGTGCCTTCCCTGATAACAGCTGGAATGGCTATCGCTGAAAAATGAATAGCTTTCTTTAATAAGATTTAAACATGTGTGAATTTGAATATATAGATTACAGATTGAAACATGTGGTTATTATATATTACGAGCCGACCCTCGGCGTATCATACGCCGCTGTTTAGTTGTTTTATTTTCTACTTTTCAGTAATTCAAAAGTTGTGAATTCAACAGTACCAATGCTGCCACTGAATATATTTGCTGAAAAGTAGAAAATAAAACACCTAAATAACGGCGTATGATATGCCGCGGGTCGGCTCGTATATTATATTATATATAGTATATATATATATGTAAAATTTCCCTTAAGTTGAGTTATCCCTTTAGAAATGAATTGTAATGACAGAAAAAAAATAAACCTCTTCAGAGTTTAGAGAGAAGTTTGTAGCAGGCGCCGATTCGTTTAAGAGAGTCTTTTATTTTTTATCTTAGGAACAGTCTCTGTTATGATATGTTACATAGCTGTGTTACAAGTTTGTTAGTATAAAGTCAAGCAAGTGTCACATAGAAGCAAATTATCAAAAACATTTATTGTACACATTGGAATACGAGATGAGTATTTCGTTGACTGGTTGGTTGTATAATGAAACAACCTAGAGGTAACAAACTGAAATCCAACGGACGCAACAGCTCTAAGTCTTGTTTGAATTAATGACTATTAAATATTACACATCCTATCCAACCGGTGTTATTCTCAGAACAGCTATCATCAATCCAGATTAAGTCTTGTTTTTCAGCTGGTTTTCTCACCTCAATACAATGTCTATTCCTACTTAAATTGTAGCTTACTCAAGTTTATTGCCTTTTAATAATAGCCTACTACACAATCCTGGGTACAACGCTTAAGGCTAGACACTCCCCCACCAACCATCCTACTGTGACCTACTTAGGTCTTTTTGCTTTATGTATATTTAATCTCCTGAGTTATGTATTTGACCTTGGGAGGATTGTCAGTTCACTGGTACGAATCGGTCAACTGAACTCTGTCACATCAGGTGATTGTATTTTTAATCCCTGGCAGAACCTCAACCAATGATCTTGCGACCGTGAGGATCCTTGACAGATCCTCAACCAATAGTCGTAAGACTTTTGAGTTATTTCCCCTTAATCTGAGTTGTATTTAATCTCGGGTTTTTTCATGTCCAGAGGCAGCCAGATTGACCTTTGGACCAGGAGAGTTGTGCCGGCGGTTGTGTGTGCCACATTTTGCAGTATTGTAATTATGTGAAATGTTTTATCACCTTTGTATAAGGTATTGTGTGGCAAGTTGTAGTATTTCAACTATTTTGTTCTGGTGTATTATTGCACCTTTTTGATTACATCGGTGATAGTTTGACCTTTATGTGGATTTCTATTGTTGTAGAGGCAATACGTCTCTTCTTGGTTTGTTGTGGTAATTATGATGCCGTTCAGTTGTGTGAAGTATTGATCTGTATTGGTGTATAATATACTAAGCCACAGCTGTGATATATTGTGATTTTCTCAAACTGTAAGTTGGAGTTTTTGAGTTTATTTATTGTACTCTTAGAGTCTGTACATTTTGAACTTACCTAGTGTCATAATCTTGTACATTTATTAAAAAGGTATTGATAGTTTAAGTCGTGTTGAGTCTCTTCGATTTGTCGTGTTTTACCCCTAGACAGCATTAACGAGCTCACGGCAAGTTGTTGGGATTCCATTAAAGTGGCTTCTATCGGTACCATACCAAACGAACCTGGGGTGTCCGCTCCCTCCGCGGCTGTCGGAGAGCGGTCCATAACACTACATCTCCCCACCGCTGGACAGTGGGTGAAGATCCAATGAGACATAGATTACGCATGGTTATTCAATCGTGAATAACACATCTGTGTAGATAGGTTTAAACACTATGTTTACGTACAGTGAATGCTTATCAGCTATCCCATCTAGTATTTACAGTAGTTGCTAGCAAACCCTATACGGACCGAAGGGCATACACATTAACACATGTGTCGTTTACAGTCCGATGCAAACCTGACGAATGCGTTTAAGCCTATCACAGCATGCCGTAACAAATTTATAAAACGCCGTTGGTTGAATGACGAGAAGGGGATTAGGGGTTGAAGGGGATTCACGCTGACTGACATGTTTCAGCTTAGTATAAAGCATACCAAACAGTGTTTAATACTATTCCAATGACAATCAACAGTACACTTCTTGGCAAAGTCTTAAAAATGAACCTAGATGTTCCTGTATAATTTTAAAACAACAAATAGAAGAGTATATTTAAATAAAGTAAACAAACGAAAACAGTCGATTTTTTTTGTTTATCTGGAAACAAGATGACTGCCTAGTACACGTGGTTAGTTGCAACCTATCCGTGAATTATTTTGATATACTGTACTATAATATGATTGGTCAAGCGTATCAATGAATCTCTTCCCATTCATAATTTTTACGCGCATTCCCTTATAGGATTTTTTATATAAAATTTTACTTTGTAGAAAGAAACTTCTATCCCACTTATTTTTAGAACAAAAGAAAAGGTAACTACACCAGCGGGTACACGAGTGCTTGGCCCTTATAATAATAAATGGTGTAATACCCGCTCGAAGATAGCCGCTGTCCGCGTAGTAGTGTGAAAACTTGCCGGGGGGGGGGGGGGGGCACCATGTTTCACATCGCAATAAACGGATAACCGTAAGCTGTAGAAATCCAAAATGTTCGGGTTAGAAAGATTAAAGGTATTAGTACCGAATTAAGAAATAAAAATTTGGGGAGCAAAATTAATTTTACACAATCGTCAAATGAGCTTTAATTTAAATGGTATCTTTTACAAGTGGTAAAGTTTATAAACTCACTAATCCAGTGTAAATCATTCCGATTTTCCTCCGCGAAAAAGTGCCCCGCCCCCTTCAAGGAAAAACTGGAAAGCGGTTTTTTTACGATGACTGTTTGTAAGTTATATGTTTTACAGTTACACAATCAAGGTAGAAAACATTTAAATATTTTAAATCAGTATTCAAAGGCTTGTAGCCGTTAAATTTTTTAACTTTGACTGTTTATAATTCAAAACTGCAGCTTTGAGGTTAAAATGTTTATAAATGCTGGTGTTGGCATGGTGGGATATTGCTTTTTAGTAGGCAGTTCAGCCGACAGACCCTGGACACTTGCTTGTCTACTAAAACACTTCTTAAGAACATGTTTTTTGAAATACTAAAACTTAAAAAAAAAATAGTACGCTGTTTATTTATTCTGTGTTGTATGTGTTTGTTTTCAATAATCCTATCCGACAGACCATGGAAAATAAATTATCTAGTATAACACTTAACGAGGCTTGTCTTTGATATCGTAAAAAAATCATAACTTACTCTTTTGTGTATGTATAGTCATGTTTCCGATACTCGTGTCCCTGTTGTATGCTGTAGCAAGGCACATAAACGTGTAGCCATCATACTTGTCTTCTGTTTGGAAACGGATTTCTGAATAATAATAGTACCTGTGGCATACTATCGACGGACTGTACCATCTAAAAGAGGAACTGCTGTAATCAATCTGAAGTGGTATAAAAGTGCTAATTTCTCCACTAGTGTTGCGAAACTTCCAGGTGATGTTTAGTTGTTTCGGGCCCTGTGATTACAATACAAGTTGGCTTTTAATAAAATGTCAACGTTAGTATAAGTTTCGTTAATTACAAAGAGCTTTAGTCGTTACAAAATAAACTTTAAATAAGTGTAGTAACAAAAGACGATGATGACTATTGAGTGCAAAAACAGAGGTACCTGTAGATGCTAATTTAATTTCTTCCGTAACGTTGCCCACACGTCAAATTAGTTATATCTTAAATCAATTTTCCCCAATCAAATCAATTGAAATGCAATTTACCCGTTTCAGTCCCATATTGCCCCCTGAGCTCAAAGAAGAGGTAGAGGTGTAGAGTGGAGGAGATAGATGGATGCACTTTGTTCACTTACTAGCCACACTCGTGGGGCATTTCATTTCTATCCCTAACGAAAATAACTAAACTTCACAGAACATAATATAACGTAAAGAATGCCGGCTTACTTTTAAAAAAAATATAATGCACGACTCGTTGCAATGTTTTTCCACGATATGCGATAAAAAAAACAAAACAACGACCGCTGACCTTGTTCCTCATACTTAATATTTTACTCGTATTTCAAAGCACAACATATCATAGTACAATCCTATGTCGAGGAAACACTATAAATGAAAAACTTACGTCTACTCCACAAAATAAAGTAACATCAGACCCTGCAGGATTGATCGAGTTACCTTCAGCATATTTCCATTGAGACTGCGGGGATATATAAAACGACCAAGGGTCTACTGCGATTGCTAGAAAACAATTACATATTGTAAGATGATAATTTAAACTTAAGTGTAAAATGCTTAATGCATATTTTCTAGACATGTACTAAAATACATTAGACCTACCTGTATGGATGTTGTTACGGAATATAAATCAGAATTAATACCCAACCAAAATTGAAACGTATTTCATACCTATATTTAAACTTAAAAATGCAAATTTTCTAGAAATTTTGAATTATTACATCGTTAACTATTAAATAGTCACACTATAGGTTTTAGCATGGAATATAAATCACAATTAAGATTCAACCTACATTAAACGTATTTCATATCTGCATTATCATTTAAGAGCCTAAATTAATTATTGAAGTTAAAAAAAAAAACAATGTCAATCCAGCATCTTACATTTTAAAAAAAAACCTACAAAATATATAGAGAAATTGCTTGTTGTAAGTTGATCTTTCAAAATCTTCTGCATCCATGTATGATGCTCCACAATAGAAGTATCCCTCGTCTGTACAAATAGCATCATGGAACAGTATTTCTATTTTCATTGTGTCCCTGTTTTCTGGTCTTGTTGAGTCTGATGTTTCTCGTAAACTTCCAGAGAAATATACTGTTACTGTCCTTGAAGTGTCATTTGAAAAAATCTGTGATTGAGCGTTTATATAAAAAAATATACAGTGTTACAAAATAAGATTATTTGCACTAGCTACAACAAAAAGAATGTGATTAGGATTACATATTTCTAACATGTTTTGGTTTATTCTTCTAAACCGGTGTAGTAGTGTTGACTCCAGGTACCACACAGCCCTTAATGCATTACAAAAAAGCCTGTTGCAAAATTATATTACTTTTTAATCTACTAAATAATCCTAAATTTCGAGATTCATGTGCATATTTTCCTTTTCTGATTGATACATGCAAATTGATAAACGTATTGCACAAGGTATATCGTATTAAATGATTTATTTCAAAGAAAATGTAGCATAAACTCGCTGTAAATAATTAATACTAGACTACCCGTCATCCCTTGGATAACTGTGGGTTTCGGGGGTCATCCATAAAAAAAACATCACGTCTGTCACTTATCATCACAAAAAAAAAAACAGACCCCACATTCTGTGGCGTGGCGAGGTCGGGTGTCACCCGGTGCGGCACTTAATGGTGTCACCACCTTGAGTCGTAGCGACCCTTCGTGGGGACAAACTTTCAAGTTTTCGATTTGCACCCTCCCCCCTCAAGTTTTTGATTTGCACCCCCCTCCTCAAACTTTCGATTTATACCCACCCCCTCAAGTTTTTCTATATATATTTTGCTATTTTTTGCCTGGGTGTCACCCCCCTAAATGGTGTCACCCGGTGCGGTCCGCACCCCCGCCCCCCCCCCTCGCTACGCCCCTCCCCACATTCAAAAAGATGTTTTTTATCTTTTAAAAACATGGAAAACACCGATTTCGGACTATCCTTTCATATACTGACGTCACAGGTGACCTACTCAACTCTAATTCGCCTGCCCACTGGCCCGCCGAGTCTCAGACAACATGTTTTTATCTTTAAAAAAAAAACGATTCCAACCGAGCATGTCTCTGACCACACAATCCCTTCATATGTTTAGGACAAAGAAACAGATGAACTATACTTCACCTGCCCTGTGTCTCATCAAGTTCAGATAGGCAATTTTATCATTCACATAAAAAAAAAATATTAAAAAATTGAAAACAAAAATTAACATTGGCGTATTGGTCTAGAACCCGTGCCACCTGCATGAAAGCCGATTACACTAACAACTTAGCTGTTTAACTCGTAACGACAATGATGTTTTTTATACTATAGTTTAATACTTTGAGTCTCGTTATGCAACTTCATTTACCCGCATATATCCAGATCTAAGTCTAGTAGTAGTAACTTTCAAACTAAATTTTATCTTAAACTAGCGTACCCGTCCCCGCGAGTTGCCGCGGGAAAAGAAGATAGTCCGACGACATATATAAGAAGGGATTCATCCATGCATTACCAATCCTATATTCTTAGACTCGTGACCTTGTTTTCTAAAATAGAGTTATTTAAATGTAAACAATGCCTGCGCTTGGATAAAAAAAATATCGGGACACGGGTTTACCTACACTACCGCGTGAAAACCTTATTTGTACATTAATCACTCAACGAAATAATCAGTTAGAACACACTTCGGTGACCACCCATTTTTCAGGGGCATAGAGGGGCGCTCTCAGTAGCCCCCCCCGATTACACTACCGTATAGGCGCAGCGTACGGCCCCTGGCTCCTTAAAACTAACAGCAGCCATCGTGTTCATATGATAACCCAGTGTACCAAATAGCATCCTGTAAACAATGATGCAGATTTCGTCATTCGCTGAAGTGACACAAATGAACAGGAATTTTTTCTATGACACGTAAAAAATTATTTGACTAACCAGTCAAGGTAATTCCATTGTTTGAAAAAAATTAAAATTAATGTAGTTAATCTACCAATGAATAAATCAATAAATTAATCAACGTCTTTAAATACATTTGTGATTAAAAGTCTTTCTGAAAAGAAAAATTGTTCTCTACCTATATACTATTTTACAGTTCTGCACATAGCGTAGATCCTCTACAGTAGTCAATCAGACAAACAAAAAAAAAATATTCAAACATGTAAACAAACTTGAGTTTTAGTAGTATATAGATAGATTACATTTTCTTAAGTTCAACACCCACCACACAATAACTATGATATACATCATATTCTGCTTTATCTGCCCAATGGATCGCAAGGTCTAAAGAAGAAGAAGATCGTTTACTTTACAAGCTACATCACACTAAGTTAAATATTATTGTACATGTATTAAATCTGCAACATGTTATATAAAAACAAAGAAGAATGTTATCAAAACAGATTAGTACATTAACTGTAAACATTCTCACCGTTAAATTGTATGGGGGAATGTACAATCTATATCTCGCGTAGTAAGTGTACTGTTCGTTTCCATCTTCACTCCATCGTATATATAGCTTTGTAATTGTTTTAATGTCCCCTGGAACACTTGCCAGCAAGGCATTGCATGTGACAGTAAACGGTTCTCCTTCATCTATTTCATCTGAGCTAACGATTGACGTGACAACTCCTTGTGAATCAGCTTTAAGAACATGTGTTTGTGTTAGTGGTTAGGTAAACAATGTACACAATTAAAAAGAAATGCAATATTGAAGGATGATATACATATGTATGTAGACGATTTATAGAAAACAGGTAATCTGATTATAACTATTTTATACTAATACTAGCCATCGTTACTCTTTACTCGGGCAATTCTGGTGACTTTTAGCTGTCTTTCCTTTACAAAAGGCTACCCGGTTTTCTTTTAGATATTTATCTCCGGGGAGCCGTATGTAAAACTGTCTGAAGAAGGGTGAAGGGGTTGTGTGTGCGTTTGGGGAGGGGATTGCGGATACTGGTTGTTCTATAGGTGAAAGGGGAAGAAACGGTAGAGATGCCTGAAGAAAATGTTTATACCCATGGAAAGTGAGTAAACAAATGAATTGTTATTCAGCTTTTAAGAAAGTCATTATCGGAAACTTAGGAAAAGAAACATTTTATTGATTAAGAGCATTGGAATGAAACATTGTTAAGACTATGAAAAAAACAGTGGTTTTGTTTTATGTAATGTCTATCATCATCATCATCATGTTTGCCTGTCGTCCCTACTGGGACATAGGCCGCTGACAAGAGCTTTCCAGACGTCTCTGTCCAGGGCTAGTCTCTCCAACTGTCCCCAGGTGTATCCAATCTTCTTGGTGTCTTCTTCCAGGTCACGTCTCCAGGTCTTTCTTGGTCTGCCTCTCTTCCTCCTGCCTTGTGGATTCCAGGTGAGGGCCTGTCTTGTTATGCTGGATACAGGCTTCCTGAGTGTGTGGCATTTCCATTTTCTCTGGAGGATCTCTACTTCCACTGGCAGTTGATTTGTCCGTTGCCATAGAACATCATTTCTGATGGTTTTAGGCCAGCGAATTCGCAGGATCTTTCTGAGACATGCGTTTATAAATGATTGTATTTTCTTCTTATTTATAGCAGTTATTCTCCATGTCTCGGCTCCATAGAGTAAAACAGGTTTTACTAGTGTGTTGAAGATCCGGATTTTTATTCTAAGGGTTAAATCTCCCGAACCCCAAACATTTTTTAGTTGGTTGAAGACTGCTCTTGCCTTACCCGTCCTTATTTTTATGTCTGCTTCTGTCCCACCCTGCTTATCAACAATACTTCCAAGGTAGGTGAATCTATCCACTTCTTCTAGGGCTTCTTCTGCCAGTGTTATAGGGTTGTTGTTTGATGCATTGACTTTGAGAACTTTACTTTTCCCTCTGTGGATGTTCAGACCCAGGCTTGTAGAAAAATTTGCAACCCTGTTGGTTTTATCCTGCATTTGCTGTTGTGTGTGAGAAAGGAGGGCCAGGTCGTCAGCAAAGTCCAGGTCATCCAGCTGGCTCCACAATGTCCACTGTATACCGTTTCGCGTTTTCTCTGTTGACATCTTCATAACCCAGTCTATGGCCAGTAGGAACAGGAATGGTGAAAGTAGGCAACCCTGTAATGTCTATACTTGTTTAAAATAACATAGACTACCAATACCTATTAGAAAAATTAAAACCAAATTATATTCCTGCTATCTAAATACCTCAACTCACTGCTGTCAACAGCACCACCACTATGCGGTGACTTCGTAACACACACTATCCCTTCATATACTGAAAATACAGTAGCATGTGAACTCTACTTCACCTGCCCCGTGTCCCGCCAAGTTTCGATAGGCAACTTTATCATTCACATATAAACAAAAATGAAAAAAAATAATTAAGATTGACTTTGTGTGTCTCGAACCAGTACAACCCGTATGGTATAACTTTCACAACCATCTCAGCTATTTAGGCACCTACAAATTATGAAGAATAAAAGACGTATTTAAGAAACTTAACTTACGCGAATAGGCCCTATTCTTTCAAATTTAATGTTATACCAAATTAGCCAATTCCATAGCTCAACAAACACAGATTTCAATAAAATAATTAAGGCCTGAAATAGTTTAGTATAGCCATTTCTTATTGGAATAGATTCTAGATCTAAATCTGTCTAACTCTAGTTTTTCCGTAAATCTAGAAACACTTTTCCGGTTGTATAATTAAAAATGTTTTTCTTCATTCAAATATGCCTTATTTTTTATTTTTCTTCTTTAAATAAAATGTTGTTTATACATTTAAAACATCTAACATATTATTTTCAACAAAGCCTGTAAAATATTTTGCGGACAGAGAGAGAGAGAGAGAGTGAGAGAGAGAGAGAGAGAGAGAGAGAGAGAGAGAATCGCGCACATGGGCTTTTACACGAAAATAACCATTTAAACTGTGTCTTTGTCCATGCATATATACTTGTCCGTGCCAGGACATTCTTCCAAAAGTGTAAGTGTACGTGTACGTGTACGTGTACGTGTACGTGTACGTGTACGTGTACGTGTACGTGTACGTGTACGTGTACGTGTACGTGTACGTGTACGTGTACGTGTACGTGTACGTGTACGTGTACGTGTACGTGTACGTGTACGTGTACGTGTACGTGTACGTGTACGTGTACGTGTACGTGTACGTGTACGTGTACGTGTACGTGTACGTGTACGTGTACGTGTACGTGTACGTGTACGTGTACGTGTACGTGTACGTGTACGTGTACGTGTACGTGTACGTGTACGTGTACGTGTACGTGTACGTGTACGTGTACGTGTACGTGTACGTGTACGTGTACGTGTACGTGTACGTGTACGTGTACGTGTACGTGTACGTGTACGTGTACGTGTACGTGTACGTGTACGTGTACGTGTACGTGTACGTGTACGTGTACGTGTACGTGTACGTGTACGTGTACGTGTACGTGTACGTGTACGTGTACGTGTACGTGTACGTGTACGTGTACGTGTACGTGTACGTGTACGTGTACGTGTACGTGTACGTGTACGTTTGCGTTTGCGTTTGCGTTTGCGTTTGCGTTTGCGTTTGCGTTTACGTTTACGTTTACGTTTACGTTTACGTTTACGTTTACGTTTACGTTTACGTTTACGTTTACGTTTACGTTTACGTTTACGTTTACGTTTACGTTTACGTTTACGTTTACGTTTACGTTTACGTTTACGTTTACGTTTACGTTTACGTTTACGTTTACGTTTACGTTTACGTTTACGTTTACGTTTACGTTTACGTTTACGTTTACGTTTACGTTTACGTTTACGTTTACGTTTACGTTTACGTTTACGTTTACGTTTATTTGTACGTTTATGTATATTTATGTGTACGTGTACGTGTACGTGATAATCATACATATACCCATACTCATACACAAGTACAACTTTTATATATACACTCACAACATTAAGCTACATAATATAATTACAGTTAAATATTATCTCTAACACTACACGCCTTAAACACTAAAAAACATACCGATCTTTTTCTCTAAAATAAAGATCCAACACATTACTATATAGAAAAACATGATTGAATTAGTCGATTGTTGCTGTGACTACACCAAGAGAATCTCATATCTCTACTACAGATCGCCTAGACCAGACGTTTAGTCTAGGAAGTTATTATTAGCTGTAACGGTCACGCGCTACTGTACATGTACACGCCATTGACTTACCTGCTTGCACCTGGCGTGATATGAACATACCTGTAGTTCAACATGCCCTGTGATTGGCTAATGGCATTCAGTGAACACACATTTCAGACGGTCTCTAGATTCTAGACAGCATATGATCCGTTGTAATTCAAATCCTGTTCCTAAATGCCAGACCTATCATTAACACCGGAAAAATAATAGGAAAACATTTCTGAAAACATTATCTGTTGAAAATTCAGCAAAAATATTACTTTATATCCTCTTAAGCTCAACTTTGGTTTCATTTCTTATATGAAAATACAAAGTTGAGTTATTTCATAACGTTTTCAAGTTCAATGATTAATTCACTTGAGTACTAATTGTATTTATGTGTTTCACCGTTACGGAGTTGCAAACATACACTTGCATTTTGATTTACTACAGGTTGTATAAATAACGCTTTTCGGGTGTTCGAGAATAAATAAAGACGAATTTTAAAAACTGGGCTAGTTGCATAACAGTCAACGTATTTATGCAATTTTAAAACACAGAATGTTCATTAAAAACTGACTTCTTAAAATACAATACTTGCCGCAGTTGTAATACTACCTATTTTTAAGTGAACTTATTTTCCGCTGTTTACATGCTGTTTTAAAAGTTTAATTCCACATTACGGAGAGTTGTATACAGCAGTTGTAAATATCGCTAAAGAGAGTCTACGATCTACTCAGAAAGATATTTGACTGAATATTCAGCTTGTCACTTCACCCGTTGGTGGTAAGTTAACTGTTATATTTTTTACACCACAATAGGGGTGGTCTGGTCCGCCGGTCTGGGAACAGGACACTAACTCCCCCCCTCCCCCGTCGATTACCCCCCATACCGGACATCCCACTCCTACATTATCCCCAGAGTATTTATGCCCCATCAATTAACCCGTCAATTACCTTCCTCCCAGAATGACCAAGCGCCCCGTTCATGGCTTAATGTGTAATTAGGGTTAGTACTATAGGTAGTAAGGGGTGGGGTAACTACTGAGGAGAGTAATTGTCAGGGAGGTGATTGCTGTGGGGGGTAATGTCTGTAGGAAATGTTCGGGGGGGGGGGGGGGGTTATTTTACAGGGGGATGTAATGTCCTATACCCCGCAGGCCTACCGCAGAAAATTCCGCCTGACCTCGATGAACTGTGCTGTAATGTTTCTATTAGTGTTTTGATTTTTTAAAAGACATAATTTCTCGATATATCTTCATTCTACCATTTGCATCCTTTCCTGCCGAGGCGAACAATTCATGGTTTAAGAAACACAAATTGTACAATGAACTTTTTAAACTGATGTTGGGACCACTTTAAACATTTCCCAGGCCATTTTACCAATGAATTCCACACATTTACAAAACTTACAGAGGTCAAACCCATCCAGTCCTGCTAAATTTAGGTCGGGTGTTCTTGTTGATAGATGTGTACTAAACGCCCGTTTAGATAAAACACATTTAATGTAAAGACCACACGGAACAAACTGCAGATGTCAACATTATGAAAATGTGGAGTTAGTGCCATATGTATGTAGCATATATATATATATATCTATCGCATATAACAATACGAAAGCGTAAAACCACCACGATCCCCTCAACATTTAGGATTTTAAAAATCATGCCACAATGGAACAGCAGATCTCAAACACAAAATCCCATGTTTCTCAAAAGTAAAAAACTTTCAATAGTGGTTTTTACCGTTGGGTCCTCAGATGGTAACATGGAGGTTAATACAATCTCAGTATAGGCTAGAGTGTTGGGTTTTATGTGACTTATGTGACTTGTTAGGTGTATTGCGTGGTCTAACTAACTTCATCAAGTAAATTGTCATCTTCATTGCGTCTCCATGTTAGCATGTCGTCTTCAAGTTTGATTATCTAACTTTTCAGTGATCATAAGTACTTGGCGAATATTACACAACAAGAAGGGAAGTGAGTAGAGTTGTTTCCCATAATAATTTTTGTAAGATTGTTTTTTTTTCAATTACGATGAGATAAATTAATACTTCTGCGTCTTAATATGATTAATGAGGAATATAATTTGACTGATCAACATCAAATACCAAACACGATAAGTAGAATGTTTTGTTTTTTCATTTTGCTTTGGCTTAGGCTAACAGTCAGAATGTTAAATGTTCCCATCGTTTATTTACAAAACGTTTTACTAAACAGTCCGCAATTCCCAAATTGAATAATTACTGAAGGTGTTGATTGTTCTGTTTTGTTATAGTTATTTCGTTTTTTAAAAAAAATATTAACCCAAAGTCCTGTAAAATACCTTCCACATGTAGATAATAGTATTTCGTTCAAAGCATTTGAGTTATTAAGTATTGTTGGATGTTTAAGCCTCCATATCAATACGTTTAACTACAATGCAAATGAAGAAATTGCGCTCAATTAAAGTGATATGTGTGTATAGATGTATTTAATAATAAAAAAATCAATAATTAAAAGCGTAAACAATAAACACTTTTTTAAAGTAAGTCGATAGGAACTGAGTTACTTTCATATGTTATTAACTGTATGATAATAACTAAAAATGAAATAAATCTCTCTCTCTCTCTCTCTCTCTCTCTCTCTCTCTCTCTCTATATATATATATATATATATATATATATATATATATATATATATATATATATATTTATATTTATATATATATATATATATATATATATATATATATATATACATATAATAAACATATAAAGACCAGTTGGTTGTTCTTTAAATTTTATATAACGTTATAATATAAGCATGTGTATTTAGATTATGCTTGTTATGTATAACAAACAAATAATTCCTACGTTTCCAAATTTGCCGACTTGAGACACGAAGTTATTTCTGTAATTCAATACAGGACGGGTTTTAATTTGTTTACGTTTATCCAAGCCTGCATAATCTTTCATACAGAAAAAGCCGACATACATAAAAAACCTAAATACAGAATAAGCCGACATTAAAAAAAGCCAACCTGTATGACGACTGCTAAAAAAAATTGATTTTGTGGAGCCATTGGTCACACATTACCTGAGCAGACAGACGGTGACGTTAATTTTTTTAACACGGTTGAATGACGCGAGTCTATTGGGAGCTTACAATATTTACGCAGCACTTGGCTGACCGAGTTAAATCTGTAATAACTCCTAGTTCAATTAAGCTGCTCTGTAGTTGTTAAATTTTAGAAACGAAGTTGACAAAATGTTCCCAACTGGTATTTGACAGACGTAGGCCATTTTTTTAATTCCCCGGAACCTTTTTTTTTCTCTAGCTATTAAACAAATCTCAACGCTAAATCTTTTTATAATCAAGCATGTCCAAAATAGACAATTTAATTCAAGCATTGATCGATACTATCTGACAAAATCTAAACAATAATATATCTACAGACACTTAAACAATTATGACTATAGTTGGGGAGTGAGAATCTTATTGTCAAAACTTTAGCTGTCTTTACGTACTGTCGAACTTTTCAAAGGTTGAGAAATGGATATTTGCCAATGGTGACCCAGAACACAACAAGCGCAGTGTGCTGTCGTTTAGCGAAGCACTTCTTACAGCGCGTGTCTTTCACGGTTCGTTGATTAGCCTACACGTCTGGGATAAAATTAGAACTCGGTCAGCTGGAACTAATTTCTAGCGAAATATAATTTTAGACTGTAGCAAGAATGCATATATATATATATATATATATATATATATATATATATATATATATATATATATATATATATATATATATATATATATATATATATATATATATATATATGACATTAAGTTGAAATGGATTCTGTGTCTCTGTATATATGCATGTAGCATACCCGTATTAGACCCGTATATAGTAAAAACCTGGACTTGATCGCCAAAGTGTAATTTTCTTAATATCATAATGGACACCAGCGAGAAAAGTCTCAAAGGTATTTGAGAGGTCCATAAATTAATTAAAAAATCTTGCACGGCGTAGTTACAATTAATATGGTTATAAAATCCTGTGTATCTGGTTTTTTCGGACTTTACTAAAGATTGGATGTATTTGATGTTTTTAATATTTTCGGTAACTAAATAAAAATTAAAAAAAAAAGCAAAAACAATTTGGTTTTCACGTGTAATGGCGACATAAACAATGGCATCCTGCTATTCGAAATGCCGCCATAAATTTTATTGCACACATTGTAAGCTAAAAATAGAAAAAGTAGGTCATGGTGTTTAAATTTGCATTGTTATTTAAAAATTTGATCTGCAAAGTTTTGTAAACAAAATAACTATTAAGTGGGGCTGTCAGAAATCGATCACGGAGTTCCTTTACAGTTAATCAATGTTTGTCTTACGAAAGTGAAACATCGGGTTATAACTTAGGCTTGATGAAAATAAATAGAAACGTAGCCTTAAACTCAACAAATTATTTTCAAGTTCTCTGGATCTGCAACTTTTATAGCATTGATTCTAAAAATATTAAATTTCTGAATTAATTTTAGGCTTAAGTTTTTAATAAAATTTTATCTTTTATTATTTTTATGATCCTAAATCTATATATACGTGAGTGTGTGTGTGTATGTGTGTGTTAACTTGGAAGATAGGACCATCAGGATTGAATAGGCATATTTGAATATCTAAATTTAGTTAGTTGATTATTTGTATTTGTGAAATTTAAAACAAGTTTAAAGATCTGAAAAGCACATATAAAGCTTTTGAGATTTCATTGATACTGTTTTATTATGAATGTAGGCTCTATATATCTACACATTCGAAATTTGAAGAAAAAAAATTTCACTAACTGTAAACACATGTAGGTCTTTAAGGTCAACCTGTCTAAACTTGTATCTACATTTACAAATAAAGTGTCTCCTTACTTTACGTTTCTAAACATGAAAGAAGATGTTTATTCAAAATAACCTTTCAATCAAAGTAATTTTGAAACCCGCAGATAAAATT